TCATCTGAAATCTCATGTGGAAGTCCTGATCGTTGATATCAAAGTGCAGAAAGGATTCCCGTGGTAAATAAATCAAGAAAGGTTTATTTGATAAAGTAATTTCAAGTGATTTTTGAATGGGAGAACTATATCTGATAATAGTAGTTGTAGTTTTATTCAGTAGCATATGTTTAGTACAATGTGGTTATCTCGACTACGGTTCGCCGTGAATTTCAACGCATGTAGGTGTGATGTTGACTTCATCAAGAATTAAATCGGATTACGTTAAATAAAACAATATCAGCTGCATACAAAATATTAATTTACATTCATAAGCAATGACGTAATACTTTGATGATAGAATTTCTACATCAAGTAATGGTTACACTGATAGGTTGGCTTTTCCTTAAGAATACTGTTAAATTAGAAAATATGTAAAAACGGGGTATTACGAAGTAGTTTATCTAAGTAGATAGTGAGTAATATGAATCTCCATTTCTATGATGAATTTGTGAAAGATTCTGAACTTTTCTATAATGACTAAGACGGGAATATTCATCATGAAGCGATTCGGATTACACTTACGAAACAACCTACTTTTATAAAACATTAAAAACGATTCAATTCTAATATAGGTTAAAGATACCACTGTTATTAACCTAACTGAGAACATCAAAATTCATTAAGAAAACAAGGTGATTTTATTATATACGGTAAAGATATAGAAGACAAGAAGTAAACTTCTCTGTCAAATTTCAAGATTATTGACTGGAAAATGGACTATAAAAGCATTTATTTTACAGTTGTATAAATATTTAAAGTCTAACCATGCTAATTTTGTATCAGGTACTTTTTGTATCAAAGCTTTATTTAACTAGAAATAAATGGGCTCTACTGATCTTTTTTTTTATATTCATACATTCACAAGGAAGCTTCGGACCAAAGATTTGATTTTTATGCATAACTATCAGTCGCATGATTAAAATCATAGCATACTGATAACTACTTAATTGAAACCATATTATAGTGCATTGGCGTAATAAATCGAATCTATGACACTACATAAGTACGATTATTACTTTTTGAAGAATGATGAAAATAATCTACTGTATCACTGAGGAAGAATTCAAAACATTGGGCAGAAAAAGGGACGCTCCAGTGGCACAACTTAAGATTAACTACTTTAACTCTAATAAATACTCTTCGGAAATGATAATCTATCAAGATTCATTGATGTAAACCTGTGATACAAACTACAACTTGACAGGTCACTGATAGTCCAAAAGAAAACATTACATGGGTATCGAATTAGAAGATGATGCTTTTGCAGAAACCCTGAGAAACTCAATTTTGAAACATCTGAGAAACTCTATATTGTCTTCCCTAGACAGCTTATTATTCATAGAAGTGTTGAGTGTAAATTTATTTGGACAACATTAATATGAACTTCTAAGTTTACCTGCTCTTATGGGGCAGGTTACAATGACCACACAAAACCGATTCTTTCTGAACGCACCTCAGATCATTACACGTAGTCGCTTTTAAGACTAGAATGCGAAACAATCAGTAAATAAATATAAGAACATGTCAGTTCTGATAATATTGCTCCACGAGAATTATTGTTCAAAATCATCTATACAGTCAAATCCATTGTCTCAAAAGGAGCACCAAGCAAAACTTGTGCGTTGCAAAAGCTTTAGCAATTTAGTAGTTCGAGTCTCAGTAGCACTTGAAATTTCTCATTATTTCAATTTTTCAAGCAACATTTTAATGTACATTTAGTAAAGTTAACTAGAATGATCAGTGAACAGTTGTGGTTTAAACTGTTCAAGATTATTCTGTATTTTTTTAATATTAGACACTGGGAACTCACACATTCTTATTCTTATTGAAATATTTACCTGGTACATATTTATATACTTGACTTTGAGTCATATTCTATGTATGCTGGCTGGTAGTACCATCTTACCGGCTAAGCCGTATTACTGGATAGGCTGTAGGTTTAAGATCGGGGATATTGTGGCTAGTAGTGGGCTGTCTTAATCACTGAGCCAACGTCCCACTCTTAAAAATGTATTTCTAAATTTGAAATTGTAGTTAACAATTTTTTGACACATGTAATGATAAACAATGGTGCTTTATTTTTTTCCCCAACTAATAAAGTTACTTTTTCTAATTCACACCGTACAAAAATAATTTAACACAAAAAAATCAATAGTTTAAAAACTATTGCCTAAGAGTTCATTTTACAGTCAGCTGACACTAATTAGTCTTATTTCCATTTTATTTAGTATTTGGGATTATTTTCTTCTTTAATAAAATTACAGTGTTTACCGATGAATTGCAATTTACTTTTCTTTCATTATGTCATATAATTGAGACTTTGAGCATTCAATGCATCTTTTCTACAAGTTTCATCAGTCACCCGACCGGAGCTTATATATTGTAGGGGCTAGTAATATGCCAAGCCCATATAGGTTATTCTAGCCTCTGGACAGACTAATCTATTCACTCTTCTCAAGTCACATTCTTACCTTGTCACTCATTCGCTTATTAACCCCGCTTGCTTTTTATATGATACTATGTGTGTTAATTACTTATGTGTCTGTAATTTATTTTTGGTCTGACTATAAATATTAAGTCACGCTGGTTGGTTCACTAGCCCTCTCCGCTCTGTGTGATTTCGTTTGCATTCACTTCCTTAGCTTCGTTTTCCTGATTGTCTGTCCAAATCAATAAGTGTACGAATTTCACGTATTCAAACTTTATTCTCGTATTTGACTTATTTAACCCCGTTACTCACCGACTCGATTTAAGTCGATAATTATAACTGAGGGTAGCTGGAATGTATAAGCTGATGACAATCATAATACGATTTAATTGGAGTCAGACAAAGGGATACAGTAAAGCGGTGAGTCCATTGACAACATTATCGTCCGATCTAAGTGGCATCAAAATATAGGGTCAATAAAATATCACGAGAGAGAGAGGATGATAAAAATCAGTCATTGGACAAATATGTTTCTTGTCATAAACCTATAGATACTTGTCAAGTTCTCTGCTATTCAAACTATTTAGAAATATACAAAAATAAATCCACAGTAAATATATAAAAATTACTTTAACCAAACAAACTGATTGACTTAAAAAATATGATGAAAAGATTTTGTTACTTTAGAGATTATTTAAAAAAAACCCAAATATTTTGGGTATTTCACTCGAAGCATGAAATTTTAACTATGAGTTAGTATTTGTCACCTTTTTCTTCTTGATTCACCTATAAGTTAACAAGTAATCAGTAGATGAAAAATTCTCACTGAAAATTTAACGAGTTCCAATTTAAAGAAGGAAGGCAATTCAGCGAAGATTTTTTTCTTTTTAACGATCTCATTTACTTAAGCTGTACAGTCGTATTTATAGTCAGTTTTATATGGTAAGATAGTGTTTTATAGTGAAATAAAAAGGTGCTAAATGATAAATTATGAAAGATAGAAATGAAGGGGATTGAACATATTGTTTTTGTGAGCAAAGGTTAGGCTTAAACTGGTGGATAGCAATAGCTTCTACTGTATATACGTTTTTCATTTGCATTCTTATTGAGCCAACTCTTCTGACTGTATGTATAATTCTAAAGGAGGCTTCTGGCGAAGCGGTGTGGTTGGAATTCACTAGATGATCTGAGATTGAGCTTTTGGCGAACTTCTGTAATTTTTTAGAGAGCCAGGAAGAGGAATTTTCGGAGATGCGTTTCGAAAGAGCTCGCTAAGTTTACTGCTCATTTTGAAGTCAAAGATTGGTCATCTCACTTAATATTATCGGATTATTACCATATTTAAAAATATGAAGTGTAATATCCAACTAGAAATATTCTAAACGATCTGTTCTATTCTTCATTCAAGGAGTATATTTCATGAAATATTCTATATTATTAAAATTCATTTATATTGAACTTGGGCTAATTACGTATCAACATAAGTTACGTAATTGTAGAAAATGGTACATGATAAATATAAATCCAGTGTTTCAAAAGTTAATATGTTCAATTGAAATTCAATGAACTCTTCAGTAGGATACTTACTGTATATCTTTCTGAAAGTTCATACATAAAGTTGAATCATAATTTTAAGAGTTTTTACACCTTTTATACTGAGTTCTGTTTTTTTTTCCAGTTTAACCGAAATTTTCATTTTATCTCCCGGAATGAAATTATTGATTGTAAACATTTAAGACATTATTTAAAATGATGCTACTTTGATTAGATACAAATTTCTATTTTAACCAGTTGATTGTATATCTGCAAAACAGTTCTTATATGCTCATACATATCATGTGATATATATATTAACCATTATCTGTTAACCAATAATCAATAGGGCTGTATTTTCTATAAACCACCTCTTGTAAATTCATTATTCAGTAAATAATTGTATTTACTAGAATAGTAGAAAACGTTGCCTTCACTTTTATTTGTCTATCTGATCTCATATTTTTCAATGGAAAGTAGAATGAATGAAAGGGGACATAGAATTTCGGAATTTCATTGTTATTAATATTCTATGCTAATCCGATTTTCGCATAATAATTAGTAAGTTTATCAACCAATCAAAAACCCTTATCTCATTTGCTAGTTTCTAACTGGTGCGCATGGAGAAGAGAAAAGCATGATTAGTAAATAGATAGTTAAGTATGTAAGGGAGTGTGAAAATAATCTGGAAACATTGATGGGCATAAAATAATAGTGTTTATTGGACAAAGAATTATATTCAAAGAATTTTTAAGGATTGTAAAAATCAAAATGAGTTTTTAATAAGTAAACAATCATTTTTCACGCTTCAGAATTTCGAATAATTATGTATTTTCAGAAAATTACACTCAATATTCAGCAGTTAATCATCATTACAAAGACTACTGAAATATTAATAAAAAATTTATCATATTAAACTGTAAAACAGAAGCTACAAACTTTGATCACGACTACTGCTACTACTTATAATAATAATAGCAAGTAGTAAGTGGTAGAAATGACTACTGCAAACCCGGAAATATGGGTAACATCGAATTTTAATCACAATGGAATTATGAACCAAAATACAATGTCTAATGGTTTTAATGAGAGTAACAATAGCAGTATAAATGCAATAACCCCTATTACTGATACTACAACTACTATTACTACCATTTCAACTAATAGTAGTAATGTTAGTAATATTAATACGGTTCTCATATCAGATACAGATTTGCAAACATATTCAAGTACTAAGTTTATTTGTTCCAGTCCAAATCGTAATGAACTAAATCAAAGTATGAATATTCATTTGAAAAATAATCATACACATAATCCTCCAGTAACATTGATCTCCACTGATCAAAATTCAAATAAATCAGCTGACAATTCAAAACTATCTGCCTATTGTACACAAAATAAAAGCAGAAATGATCCTAATTTTATTAAAATCAATCTATTGCGTTGTAATGAATGTCAGTCAATTATATTTGATCAATATTATCATAGTATAGATGATCTTACATGGCATCAAAATTGTTTAAGATGTTTTGATTGTGGATTTGTGCTCACAGAACGATGTTACACAAAGGATGGTCATTTATACTGTCGAGAAGATTTTATCAAGTTAGTTCCCGGAATTTCCCTTTTTTAAATCTGTATGAGTAGTTTAATTTTTGACTTAATATTTGATTATATCAACAATAATTCCACTTTAAATTAGTTATTTCATCCTATAGGGGCTCATGATTATGGAGAATGATTGTGATTTCATTTTCCGGTTACTAATCTGTAAAAATCAGTCAGATATTCATTCTGCGTATGTTTTTTATATGTGTGCCTTTACATCGATTCGTCATTTTGTTTTGGTAAATAGGATATCAATAAAAGAAATTTTTGATTTAACTTCTTATTTTACTATAAATTGGCAGTCATTCAGAAACTTGAAAATATGTTGAATCAGCTCATTTCGAACTAGATTGGCAGATATAATAGGTTACTATAATAAAACAAGTGCTTTGTTCTTATATTTTACATCCAAAGTTAATTTACACCAGGAATTGATATTAGCTGAATGACTGTTGATAACTAGGAACAGTTGAACAGATATTTTCTTCCTAGAATAAGACTACTCTGTAGTAACCAATTATAACTTCCAGCATTGTATCCAGTTGCAAAGTTTTTTTATAAATCATTAGGACATATTGGATTATAATGTGAATTGTCTGTAAACATAATAAATACCACAAATCTCTTCATTGTATATTAACTAACTTTCTTATTAATTTCTTATATTTACATAAGCTGTACTGATAAGCATCCGAATGTTCAGATTACAAATTATACACTTCACTATTATTGAACAGTAAATTATCTATGAATACCTTTTTAGATATCTGCATTCAATTACTATTATTTTATGGATAGGTTTTCTTTTTTTTTCTTCTCCATGTATGATCTTAAACAGACTATAGAACCATATTTTTCACTATCCAATTTTTCTTCTGTTTTTCTTTTTTTGGTATTCTGGGAATCTGTTACTTGTATGCCATTTATTTGCTACAGCTTTTAGAAAGTTTATTTATAAACACTTTCTATTTGAATTGTATATCACTATTTGATAAGGATCTGATTTAAACAAATCAAATTATTAAAGAAAGAAATGATTTTACATTTCGGAAGTAACATCACTATTTGTTGAAAAGAAAAGACAAACAAACTAAATGGAGACTTGAAATTACCTATGCTTAATCATTAGTGTATACAGATGTTAGATAGGACAATGCGACTTTTATTTTCTTATTTTTGGTCATATTTTTTTAAAATGATTATACGATCATATTAACTTGAAAATTGTTAAAACTTTAGGGAATAAGGGATAGTTATATTAGTACAATTTAGTAATTCTTAACATTACGTGCTTTCGACGTGGTAGTGGAACAAATACAATGATTCAAGAGTTTAATGGTAAACAAAATACCTTCTAGAGTATTGTATCTAAAAGTATTTTTTAAGTAGTTAATTTGATTTTATTAGTTAAGAAGTATTTTTATGTATAACTCCGTTTGTTTCACAGGTCACTTTATTTGTACTTCAGAATCACACTTTTATAATTATACAAGTTATTTCCTCAGACCACGCATTGCCTAGCTCAGTTTTATTGGTTGGATAGTTTCATCAATTCTTTATACATGATTTATAACTCAGAGTTCAATAACTTAATGAATGTTAAAAAAATCCGTTTGTACTAGTAATTAGTTGATAATGAACATATTTGCAACATGATGATTGATTCTAAGGAATAATAATTACGTTTCTAGAGATCTACAGGATGATTACTGTTTGATATGCTTAAAACTGAATCATGTGTTAATTTCCGATTCATCAGTTGTAAATCAGTGTTATTGTATAGAAAATTAGTTTCCACAAAACAGCAATATCAAATGAATAGTGAACCAGTAGACCTACATATAATATTTATAAAGTAGAAAATAAATGAACACATTATAGAACTACACAGTTGTACTTGTCCTAGATTGAATCTTATCAATAGTGTGAATTCCTTACTCCATATGAAATATAAATTAAAGACTCTCAGGTCTCACAACAAATATGATACCTTTAAACTAATAATTTGGAGTACAATAGTTTACATTGGCCACAGGACTATTTTTAAGGGTTTTCCAATTGATGATCATTAATGATGATAAACACCTTCATACAGTATATAATCTTTGTAAATAATCACAAATATAAAAGTATACACTGAAATTACTAAATATTCCATTCTTACTTCTACTTTTTAATACTAAAAAAAAATTTAGCTTTCCATGAAATATTTAAGTGATGATAGTTAATGATTAGCTGTGAAATCCATGATATCGTGTTATTCGGGATTCATCGACTAGATGCACTTAACACAATCCAATGTTAATATCTATACTAGGACTGGAACCTAATACTTTTCAATTCAAATACTGAATATGTTATTCAAAAGATTACTGAGTTCGTGTAGCAACTAGTTTGTATAACAGAAATGAATTTTATTGTCTATTTATAAGCGTATGAATCTTCATTTTGTTGTTGTTGTTATTGATGATGTTAATGATATTAGTTGATCCGTCACTTCTAGTATATTTACATCCCATGTGAACTGTCTCAATATTCCCATTAAATCATAAACATTTAAGTATAGCTGAATAATCTCTAACATAAATAACAAGAAGATTCAATCAATTACTAATTATTAATGATACTGATAATAATCTCTATGATATATTTTTATTGAAAAAAATAAAATAAAAAAAATTATGAAAAAAACTTTTCTAAACATTATTTGAATTAATTGATTTAGTTAATTTTCCTTTAACTGGTTCACATAGGAATAAGAAAGTTACTGATTTGTTGTAATATAAGACATTTTAGAGAAACTTGCTGTTGTCATGTATGTATGTAGGTGTATTGTATAAAGTTGGTTTAAAAAAAGGGAAACTAAATTAACTGAATATAAAGAATAAAAGTTATTTACAAAGTAGTTTATATATATGACATTTGAACTTAACAGTTTACAAATGTTTTGTAAACCTTGTGTTTCTCTGTCTCCCTTTCTTTTCAAGTATATATATATATATATATATATATATATATATATATATATATATATATGATATTAGTAAACATAGTTGATAATGTTAAACATGTAAATTCTGTAATTGCTTTCAATGTATCAGTAATTTTTTTTCTAATGGTGGACTTCAATGTATCTATAAAAATAGAGGATAATTGAGAAATCTGACGGTAAATAACTTCCTAATAAAAATACCTTTGTAAGGACCTAACATTTGATGATAACCTTCTTAACTGTGATAGATTCCATTACATGAAGTCGTTTGATCAAGCATTGTGATTTATTCCGGGTACAGCCTATATGATAAGTTAACTGGCCTAGAAGTCCTTCTGTAGTATCTTCTTTCAGTCATAATCAACTTTTTCATCGTTTTTCTTTGTGTGATATCTGGGAGCCACAATGACCTGATTTTATCATATTCAAAATATCTTCAAGTATAAATAACTTATTTGGATTTCTTCTTTCTATCTGGTGCAATAAAATGATACAATTTTTTAATACTGATTATTAAAAGTATCTGAAATTTACTTCTGACGGATTGGCCCAGTTCAAAATGTGGCCGGTGTAAACTAAACATTTTTACATTTTTTCTATATAGGATGATGATTATGTATTTGTGAGAAGTCCTAGGTCAGGATGAAAAACAAGAATCGTCATAATTTTCAATATTTTATCGATTAACGTGAAAGAAATTACTTTTAAAATAGAATTATTGTTATTACTAAAGGTTTTTACATTCATAATCTATTTAATAGTTAAATAGGACACGCAAATTAATATTATCGCTAAAGTATGATTTTCTTCTTATTCGGACAAGTACAATTATCTAGAGCAGTTATTTTGAACAAAGATTACGCAATATAAATTTAGCTTATTTTTTACCGAAGCATACTTACCTTGTTAGAGCTTAATCGTTAGACAATTATATTTTAATAGTTGAGATCATAAGTCAGTTGAAGCTAGACTACCATGGAAGACCTGAAAGCACTGGACAACCGTTTCGTTCTATTGTGGGACTCCTCAGCAATGCGCATCCACGACCCCATCTCGTAGGATTCGAACCCAGGAACTATCAGTCTCGCGCACGACGCTTAACCACTAGACCACTGAGCTGACCAGCATCCAACGGTGTTAATGTCTAACTTCAACTAGCCCACGAAATTGAGCGACACATCCACCATTGTCACCAGTGATTACTATCTCACAACAGACCTGGTTGAACTCCACTGGTCACTGCAGTTTTGATTGTACAGAGTTGCTATTAGGGATTCAAATTTAAATTGATGTGACAATTTCCTACTTTTTTTCTAGGAAGTTTAAATTATACAACTAAATAAAGCATCATTTTGATTCATATACATGATATACCATTTCTAAGATTAGATCTCACAATGAAAATCAGTAATTCATTAGGTAAAAATATCAATTCCAAATATACTCTAGCTGTGTTATAAAACTGAATATTGATTAAAACATGGATAGGTAAAGTTATATACTACAGAGTGTCTTCCTTTAATATTACACTCCATCAATGCCTTAAGTTGACAGTTCATAATTACGGATAAATTATACTCAGTATTTCTGTCCAAATAGCAAATGAGTTTCAAACGAAATCTCAGAAGTTAAATGAATCAATAAATCAATGTTGTTACAGCCCTTTTATAAGTAAAATTATTGTTTCATTCGACTGGAATTGAACAAAACTGGTTTAAATTATGTTACAGAGTTTGTAGTAACAAATTTTGCTTCACTTCATTTCATACTAAAACTTTTATTTTTTTACAATTCATAAACAATATTTAAACAGGAAAACGGTTCAAATCTAGGTACAATAAATCTTTAGTATCCATGGTTCAATTCATGATCTATTCAGTACACAAAGTCATTGACGAATAAATTAGGAATGCAAGATTTAGGATGATTGAAGCTAATTTTTCGTAATCATAGATCCTACTTACTGATAATTACAAACTGGAAGTTAATTGAATACACTTATTATTACTCAACGTTTTATACCTATACCTGTTATTCTTGTTGATGAAACAATTTGTTTGTAAATGTAAGACTATTTCATCTACCAACTATTTATGTAAACATAAAATAAAAAAGAGATTGATTCAGTTAAGAATTTTGTTTTCGGTAAACCATAAATAGGTGATAATAAAAACTGTTGATTATTACTTGTCATTAAAGGGATGAATGAGACTTTAAAATTCAATTATACTGTACAACCTAATTAAACAAAACACTTTTCTTCCGTAATACATTCCTTTAGAAAAGCAGTAATGAAAATTGGGTTAAATGGAATCTTAAAGTGTAAGAAACATAACTTAGTGATATTAGATGAACAGTTGAGTTAATCATTGACCTATCTGTTATACAGAGTGTTGATATAAAAATTGACTTTGTATAAGCACTGAGATTTACCTAAAATCTTAACCCAGAAATAATACATGTGTTATGTAAGATTTAATTTTCTCGATATACTACTGACGGATAGAAGTAGTTGGACACTGTAATTATCATCATTTGATAGATTTAATCAGTTACCTTGAAGTTATTTCACTAGTTGACAGCCATTTCGCCTGCTCAGGGACAAGATGATCCAAGCAGTCTGTCTTGGATTGAAGATAGAATAGTTCGCGATAGCATTTCAGTTATTAATTTTTGTCATTTTAAGTCAGTTTGAATCTTGCAAACACATTTCGTGCTTTTGGCTTTTATCTTTGTTGAGGTCATTTTTCTATATTGACTTGTTGGTATTTGATGAAGTTATTCTGTAATTTCATTTTCTGAACATATGCAAAATATGTTTATATGAGATAACTATAGGTATACTCAATTTCCTTTGTTGAATCGAATAGATCTTCTAGTTAAAACTTGTGTTCTCCCTCTGGTTTTGTTGAGGCTAGATGAGAAGACAAAGCTATCTCCCTTCATTGTTTACAATAGTAAGTCCAAAGAACATTCACAGCATTTACCAAGCCATAATAATTTGATGAATTCGCTTGATTTGATGAGGGTGCTAGATACTTATTTGTAGAAAAACGTTGTGGTTATAATGGAAACATAACTTGTACCTGTCAGTCATTTTCCAACAAATGTTAATTGGAAGATAATTCGTGTTATAGTGATAATTAATGTCATAATCCTATCCAAGTGTCAACTTTTATCTATGAATAAGTACAGATATTCATAAATGTGAGAGATCTTCTACCGTAAAAAGTTATGTTAATTTTTATCTTACTAATGGATGTTGACAAAAAGTCAATCACCGTGTTAGAGATGACAACTGTGATTAATTAATAAACACTAACTAATATTGGATATGGAACTTAGGTTTAATGTAGATTATTTTTAAGTGTTCAACCATAATATCGTTATTTTTAAGACTATTTATTAGATTGTACACATTTTATTTATAGGAATCCGGAGGTTATTATTATGAAAGTTTTTCGAGGTTGATAATATTCCCCCCATCTTGGATACTCATAAGAACTAGAGTATTTAATATACTTTAATCTAATGAAATCGAAAAGATTGATTAAATAAATTTTACAAAAAGAGTTTAATCAACTATCAGTAATTGTAACTGACTAACTGAATACTGGCCAATTTCTAATCATTTAACTAAAATGGGATGACTGTTAATATCCTATCGTAGGATGAATTTTAAGTTGTCATACATAAACTACTCATTACGTAAATTATTTTAACTCTTAACATTTCAGATAATTTGATAATTTCCTTATTGTTAAAATGATACAAAAGAAAAGTAGTTATCATTATCTTTCTTACAATTTCTGTAGAAATTTCGGTCCAAAATGTTCAGCTTGTCACAAACTTATTCGGAATGGCGAACTTGTCCGATTTGCTCGTCATTATGTATATCATATCAACTGTTTTCAATGTGCAATTTGTAAGAAACAATTCACTACAGGTGATCAATATTATCTTTTATATAGTGACAAGTTTTTAATATGTCGTGAACATTACTATGAAAGTGGCAGTTCATTAATACCACAAATATCAACAACAAGAACTTCATCAGAAATGGATTTATTATCAATTCTTACGAATTCTAGTTCTTCTATCAAAGATGTTATGAAAACGGATCGGAAGTCAGAATCCCCTATTACATTGTCTAATTCTGTTAACTGTGAGTTATCAGTCAATAATGATAATTGTATACAAAACATTTATGATTGTGAAACCAATACAAATATGAAAAATCAGTTAGAACGGTTGAAAGTTTTCAAGCAAGATGACATTTCAGATCCAATTAATCAGATGAATTCATCTTTATCTGAGGCATCTATGTTTTCATCCACTCAGTCTTTGTCTTCAGTACCATCACTACTGGTACTATGTTCCACTCCGTCTTCCACATCAACGGCAGCAACAACAACTCCCCAGTAACTTCGGTGAATATTATTTCCAGTCCAATAATGAATACAATAAACGCTTTCAGTAAGCACCAGATTTTTACTTGGATATTATTTTTTTAATAGTATGCCCTAATCATATTGACAGATGTAACTTAGATCTAATGTGTCAGTTAAAATGACTAGACTTTCCAGTAAATAAAAGCTATTCTGTATCATACCAATACATATAATATTATTTGAAGTTTATATCACGGCCTAGCCCTAGCTAAATGAACATTAGGAACTAGAAAACAATGGGCAATTGTTCTTTTCCTCCTCAGTGGTGTACATGTACGACCTCATCAAGGATCGAAACTAGGGTATTTGAGCCTTTCAGTGCACTATTAACTTCCAGACCACAAAATTGACATTTAGTGTTTCGCATTTCTAACTCTAGCCAATTAATGATATTTCGTCATTTATTGGCACCGGTAATACCTATTTCACAACCGACATAGTTACACTCCACTAGTTACTGCTTCTCACTAGAACTACAAAAACTTCCTCACCAAGTTAGTCACTAGAAAACACATAACCGCTGTAAGTGCAGGGAGTGTGTGTAGATTTTTTTTATTTGTAATTTACATCATGGATCTGAGATGGTTATCAGCAACAGGAATAGATGATGGTAACAAAATACCATGAAATGACTGGTGTTAAAAATGTAAACCATTGGATTCCAATTTGTGTTTTAGGAGTTAATCGTTCCCTGAGAGGTTCAAATTCTCTAGTTTTGATTCCTAGTAAGATCGTAGATATGCACTACTGAGCAGAACGAAACGACTATTTAATGCTTTCTAGTTCTTAATTTTTACCAAACTAAAATCAGGCCTTGGTGTAATCCATAAATCGAATAATTTCAACAAACGCCGCGTACTAACATAGCAATACTTCTGATCTCAGTAGGAGAATTTACTTCAGGAAGATATGAATTTCATACAAACTGGATAGTTTAAACAATACTTCCCAGCATCGAGTAAACATTTTAATGGAAGATTTATTTGACTAACAGTTATTTTAATATTTTTCCATTCAACAAATTCTATCCAACTCAAGTTGCCATAGGTCTTCTGAAGCATTTCGGAAAATAAAATTAGTTTTTTGCATTCAAATGTCTGTCAACGGTTATCAATCTGACTAGCTAATCAATTGATAACAATGAGGTGATACTAAGCAAGTTAGATAGTTTATCGAATAAATGTTTCTCAGTCTTCTCAAATACTAGCTTTCCATATAAATCTCTTTTTTAGAAAATATGATTTAAGCTTTTAACCTAGCACTGTACTTGATAAAATATTGTTTGAAGAGATTGATGATTGTTCATATTTAAAAAAAACCCACTAGTACTCTGAGATAAAGTTACTTTTAACTGTCAAATCCCAGATAGAATGAATGTGACTGGTCAGTTTAATTATTTCACTTTCAATTGGTGGGTTACAAGTTCAAGAAACCATCAACTTCTTACGAGGATTTGAGATGTATAGCAACATATGCTTTCATACGCTTTGTCATGTTTTATAGTGCAAGAAATTAGTATGATAGTGTTTAGTGAGTCATATTATTTTCACTTATAATCAAACAATTACATAGCATGAATTTTCTATCATTTAGCAAGACAACACATTCAATTTATCTGTCATTAAAATTTCTTTTCATATCAATACCATAACAACAACAAAAACAACTGAAAAACAATAGAAATCATCATACACTCTTTAACTTGTCACTATTACATCATTCCTCAATGGAAAATTAGTTACTTAGTTCCTTACACTGAATCAATCGTGAATATATTTAATAAAAGGTATAAATGTTGAATTCTTTATATATATAAAAATAAAGATACTTTATGTATAAAGCCATTGTTTACTATACCATTGAACTGAAACATGAGTCCAAGTATATACACATATATATAATGATGAACAAATTTACATACATAGAATAAATTTGACTTCAAAATCAACTCATCAATGAATTGAACATGTCTAAATTTCAGTTGAAGAATAAATTTTGGACAAATCATCATTATGTAAAAGAATAAAGGTTTATAACGACTAAAATGTAAATTAGATACTATAGTATGCATAGAATTCATGACATTTTTTTTTCAACTTAAGAACAATGAATGAATTAAAAAGTATTTTAAAAATTATTTAATATGTTAAATATGTAATAAAACTGAACAGGTCACCACTATTATTATTGTATCATAATTCTTTACATCATATACCAGTACTAGTCATTTATTCAACAGAAATTAAGTAGTATTATGTGATTGCTTAGTTTTACTCTAACACCTAAACTACAAAGACAAAACTTATTGACATATTTCCTAGAGTTCTAGTGGGAAGCTGTGACCATTGGAGTTCAACCAAGTCTGTTGTGAGATATCAACTTACTGAAGACAATAGTGTACAGTGGCGCAGTTTCATGGATTGGTTGAAGTTAGACATTAACGTAGTTGGATGTCGACTCAGTGGTCTAGAGGTTAGGCACTCGTCCGCGAGCGGGTTCGTGGATGCGCACTGCTGAGGAGTCCCACAACAGGACGAAACGACCGTCCAGTGCTTGCAGGTTTTCAGTGGTGGTCTAACATCAATCGGTTCATGATCTCAATAAAAAAAATTACTTAGTACTGTTTGTTTGAATATTCCCGTTGATGTTTAGGACTGTAATTGATCAGTCATTTATTAGCATATGTGCAAACAAACAATACCAAGTGAATTTACTGACTGTCTTTATAAACTTTACTTTAGCAAAGTAAACACATTATTGAACAAAACTTACACAAACGTTGAGTAGTCAATTTATTTGGCGTCAAATGTCTTTCCATGATACACATGTTTATAATGAGTTAATAAATGAATTTCGATATCAAGTTATTGATTATTAGTTACATCATCGTGTGATCTATTGTAGGTGACTGAAGAAAAATGTAAATGATTAAACTCATAAATAAACATCAGATGTTACAGTGAACTGAAATGGGACCATTTTAAAATATACAATAAATGATTCATTGAATTTATGTTAACCATATTTTAGTAAACTACTTAAATACAAAGAATAATTTAAGTTTATATCATCAATTTACAATCTTATTTATTGGATAAAGAATTCTAGGATTTCATTTATTGTTATTTTGTATAAAAAGATTGATGGGAAAACTTTAAACCATATTTAATCTACAAACGAACATTTCACCAATTCAAGAAACAATCGAAACTCTCGTAACCTAAAATCTTTCTAACATTTCTAAAGCTCACACGTTTGTCATAGTATCCTAAAATGTATAACTAATGGTTCTTCTAAAAGGTTGTAGTGTATCATAAAATGTATTTCTTCAGAATTCTTGACAATGGAATTCACTAAAAAAGAGACAAAAAGACATTATCATCTGTAAATGATGTTGTACATGGTTACTTTTGGTGAAATAAAATGATACCATTTTTCTTTAAAGTAGAAACGAATTATGTATTTATATCTTGATCAAGAAATTATCGCGTTGAAAGGATCGTCTCTAGCTACTTTTGTATATCTACCCAGTTGCCCTAATTGAAGTAGGTCAAATGTTGTCCAAACTTTTGACCTTCTCCTTGTATGTTGAATGCTTCAACCACTAGACTGCCTTTTCTCGAAACTAGTTATTTGACTACATGTGCGTGTCGTGGGAGACTTCGCGCCATTTGAAAGCAAATTTCAATAGTTTTTCAGTTAAATATAGTTACTAATAAAAATCTACTTTTAACGAGTACAAAATTTTACCACAACCACTTTAGTAAATATGAATATTCATTATTTTCAAGTTCTAAAATTTCAGACCTAATGAACAACTGCCGACACAGTAGGTAGCATTAGCTGTCTGTACTTTAATCATTACGTTTTAGCGATAGTGGATAGATCTAAAAAGTATTTAAAAAACCCAGATGTATTTCTTACCAACATAAAAAAAAGAAAAAAAGTATAATTGATAACATATCCCTGTTAAAGATATTCTTTACAGATTTTTATGGTTGGGAATGTGGACAATATATAGCGATTTCGTTCTATCTGTAATCAGTTTATTATAATGGACATTTTTGTAGAGTTTTTGCGAATTTATCTATTTTCATTCGTTTCCATTTCAACTGTTTTCAAGGTTGAAAGGATCTCGAAGATTAGTACAATCGGAAGATAGTTTTTGTCACAGATAGATATTAAGTGCGGAGTCGTTTAAAATCAGGTAGTATTGAACAGTTGTTTCATTTCTATTTACTTCTCACTAATACATACCTATAAGTCAACACAGAAACATGTTCAAGAACTTCAAGTCTTAAGATATATTTATTACCTTTGAAATATTGAGAGGGAATCCATTAGTCAACTCATAGTACAACAAAACAGTTATTCGATATCACTCATGGATAATTTCTCCACACATAGCCTAACATCTTACTTTATTGATTTGGAATAACGTTATCTGTTATTCAATTGTGTTGTCCTATGTTACTGGCTTATTTGTGGGCGTTAAATTAATCACATCACTTTCATTCGTATAAACAGTAGGATCCTAACGAGATCAGTGATTCTCATTCATAAAAGCAAATCATTAATTGGTGAAGAAATAATAGTGCACTAGATTGTTTCATAATTTGATTTGTATTAGATGTGACAGAAGCATGAAAAACATCTTAGAATCATTGAATGGAATAGTATTTTCTTGAAATGATAACTCTGAAAATTAACAAGAATGCATTTTAGCTGAATATTTTTCTTTCAATTTAACTATTTCCGTATTATCAGTATAGGGTTGCAAGATTGCTGAGTTTAGATTAATATCATGAATGGATCAATGTTAGGCCACCATCGAAAACCTGGAAGCACCGGACGACCGTTTCATCTTAATGTGGGACTCCTCAGCAGTGTGCACTCCTAGTATTTGGGGGTCCAAACCCAAGACTTTGGTCTCAAGCGCGAATGCTTAACCTTCAAACCATTGGATGGGCATCT